TGAAAGGGACGTATCGTTACAATTTGATGCAATCAAAATTGCTACAAGTTCAAATGGATATCACCTCTCTAAAGTTTTACTTTTTTTTTCTTCTATCTACTTCTCGCGCGGCTAACACAAGGTTGGGATGAAAATTTAAGGTATCTAAGGTTAAACTTTTGTCAGAATTCCGGACTATGACAGAAAGAGACACTTAAAAAATCATTAGTAACTAGTGACAAGGAAGAAGTGCTCATTTTAGATCAAGGCTTGTCAGCAGAGATAAAGGGCCTAGATTCTAATCACTTACAGTGAAGACCTATTCAACAATTTAAGGTCAAACAATCAAGACATCCCCACAATCAAAAGCCATAAAAATAATATTTTAGTTGGGCTCCCTGCACAAAACAATATAGATTTAACCAAGTACAAATTCTTTTTCTTGAAAAAGGCAACTAAACAAGAAGAAGATAATCTAATACATGCGCAAACACTTCGACCCACATAGATTCTACACAAGAACTGCACGGAGAATTGTGAGTTTTCATTGATAACTATAGTTAAAAACGTTAACAAATACAATTCTTTTAAAAATCAACTTTTTAAAAAAGTAGCAAACATGCACCCCTAATAAAGATTAATTTAATAAATCTGAACAACAACAACAACAACAACAACAAAACATCAACAAGCACTAGCGGAACGCAAAACGACCAATGCAAATAAAAAGACATAGAAAAGTACAAATAATTTATATTAAAAAAAAAGAAAACAGCTTCTCTTTCCCCATACTTAACATGGATCATGGACTGCCCCCCCTCCTCCGCCCCTTTTCCACTTTCTTTCCATTCCCTCTTTTCGCTTTGGGGCGGGGCCGGGTGTCCCCAAACTAGGTTACAATACTGCACCCCCAATCCCCATGTACATTTCTTTTGTGGGATCTCGTCATGAACTCTCTAATTCGTGGCCCCTACCCATACCCCTACCCCATTTATGTCCGTGATGTAATCATGGGCGTTGAAAGACAGCTTTGCACCAGCTTTGTTTGAAAAAAGCGCTCTCCACACGCAGCTATTATTTATTATTACCCTTCAAACTTATCCCGAACCCTACAGTTCTGTTTTCTCACTGGTACACATAATTCGTCATCCGTCTGTCTTTATCTGCTCATATTCATCATACGTATCTGATACCGTTTCGCAGCTGCCTGGCTCAGCGGGGGTTGTTTTAGGTCAAGTAACTGTGACCCACTTGTCACTTTGGCCTCGGTTTTTTAGGTCAATTTTCGGAGTGCAGATTCGTGTTGATTGGGTTTGCTTTTCTAGACATAATTTAGGAGTAAGCGCTGGTGTGAAGTGTCAGTTGAATCGTTGCTTCCAAAATGCCAAAAGTTGCGCACGTATAATATTATTATTTGATTTTGTGCACAGGGGAGTCTGCGCTATAGACAGACAGACAGACAGACAGA